GGGTATGTATAAACCAGTAACGGCAACAGGCGGACGCGGCCGACGCAGCTCGAAGAGATTCTTACAGCCGCCTCTCAGCAAACCAGGTGCGTTGGAGTCTGGATCCGAAGTACAGAAGGTACACACACCTTGCGAGCTTTCCGGAACACCTGTGAAAACTGCCCTCAGACTAGGCCTCAGAGAAAGCTCGACTCCAAATAATCGGTATTATATAGACCATATTCTTTGAACGTGAAATTGTATTAGAAATCGCCAGTAAAAAGACTTTTTAAAAACCCTTACGTTTCAAAGCTATGGAACAGACTCCTTAATAACCCACATGATAAAAAGAAATAAAGTATTTCATCTTAAAGTTCAAGGAACTTTTAATATTCATATTAAAAATTCAAAGATAAACCATGCTTAAAGAGAAACGTACGGCCTTAAATGTATTTGTTTAAAATGACAAGAACTCAGGGGTGCCGGGGTGGCTCAGTTGGTTAAGTGCCCGACTTTGGCTCAGGTTATGGTCTCGCGATTCACGAGCTCAAGCCCTACACTGGGCTACACACTGACAGAATGAAGCCTGCTTGGGATTCTCTCTCCCTCTCTCTCTGCCCCAACCCTGCTCTTGCACTCTTGTTCTCTCTCTCTCTCTCTCTCAAAATAAATAAATAAACTTAAAACAGATAGATTTATTAATTAATTAATTTTTAAAAATGGCAAAGACTCAGGCGCCTGGGTGGCTCAGTCGGTTGAGCGTCCGACTCTCGATTTCAGCTCAGGTCATGATCCCAGGGTCGTGGGGTTGAGCCCCGAGGCAGGTTTTGCACTGAGTGTGGAGCCTGCTTACAATTCGGTCTCCCTCTCCCTCTGCCCCTCTCCCCGACTCATGCTCTCTCTCTCTCTCAAAAAAAAAAATAAACAAAATAAAATAAAATAAAATAAAATATAAAGGCTAAAAATAAAAGAGCTAAGTATTTTACACAAGGACTAAAAACATAAATAACCAAGGAAATTAAAAGGAAAAATAAAGAATAGAAATCAATGAAATGAAAACAAAAGTGTCTATCTACAAAACCGAAAGTTGATCCTTTGCTGGAGGGTGTCTATTTCAACTGTTTCTTTAAAGTCTCAAGGTAAAAAGACACAAAATTTTGGGAAGAAAAGGAAAACTGTAACCATAGGCGTGTTTTTAAAATCACAGAGGCACAGCTGAAACGTGTTTATGTCACGACTCTGGAAAACGTGGACGCAGCAGTTGCCTGGAGAAAGGCTGGAGAAGGCACAGCCAGGGGACGCCGATTTCCGCTCTCGCCTCTGCAGCAAAGCCTCTTTGCCCCATGTGCAGCCCGCATGTGGGAGGTGCTGGTTCCAGAAACCCTCGGGCCCTAGCCAGGCAGCCAGCCTCCTCCACTCACCCATGTGCCTTGCAAATATCCTCTTCTGAGCACTCCAGGCAGTGAGGAATTTTGGCAAATTCTCGTCTATGTGAAAACCTTGATCTTTAACTGAGCACGCTGACTTCTGGAATGAAGATCTCACTTCACGGCCCCTTAGTGACAAAGACCCGGCCACTATCACGGAAGTGGAAGCGGCAGGCACAGCTTCCAAGGAAGAGTCTGGAAGGAAAGGGGCATGCTTTTCTCCTTCTCCCCTTCCTGCTGGCTGGCAGGCAGTCCTGGATGGACCTGGGACAGCTACCTTGGCCCATGAGGCGCCCTGAGGCACGCGGGGGGGGGTCACACAGGCGCCACCTCCAGACTCTGACTCTGGAGCTAAAGCACTTTCCACGTCATTTAAGCCACTAATGTTTTCGATCTCTCCTTCACTCATAGGTGAACCTAATCCTAACTGATTCAAATATGAATCACCCAAAGAGACTCAAAAAGGAAATAGGAAAACGGAATATACTCACTCAAGAAATTGACTTGGCAAAACAAAAAGAAAGGATTCGTTCAAGAGAACAGAAAAGCTAGCAACATTAAGACTTCAATACGAAGAAAAGAGCAAGAGGGGGAACCAGCAGTGAAGACAGAATAATCATCAGCCATTAAGGAAACGCAAATTCAAACACAAAAAATTAGAAAGACTGACTGTTCCGAGTGCTGACGACGACGTGGGGAAGCTGGAATTCTCCTCCGCTGTGGTGGAAATGTAAATGGTACAACCACTTTGGAAAACAGCCCGGCGGTTTCCCGAGAAGATAAATACACGTTTACCACGTGAGCCAGCAATCTTACTCTCAGGTGTTCACCCGAAGGAACGAAAGTGTTTGTCCCCACAAGGGCTCGTAAGGGAGTGTAACTGGCCAAAACTGGAAACAACCCGACGGCTCATCAACTGACAAATGGATACACCCACTACAGAGGATGATAAATCCATACCACTGCAGTGGGCGTATCTTACAACGCGCTCACGACTCAGCAAGCAAAAGGACACGTGCTGAAAAATGGATACGTCTCAAAGTAACACGATGACTGAAAGAAGCCAGACCGAAAAGGAGCACACGCCATGTGACTCCACCATCTGTGATTCTGGGAAACAAACAAGAGTGACCAGGAGCAGAGGAGCAGCTGGCGGGTCCTGGCGGGAGCGGGGCGTGGGGAGAGGTGGCCGGAAGGGATTCCGAAGGGCACAGGCCACTGTGGAGGGCGGCGCACACGTTCACCGTCCTGACTGTGGGTGGCACAGACGTGTGGAAACAGTCTCACTCCACCGGGAGAGTAAATCAGTGCAGCCACTCGGGGAATGATTTGGCGGTATGGGGCGAAATCAAAGCTCTGTGCACCCTCAGGAGCTCTGGGTCTGGGCACAGACGCTAAAGCAAGGTCGCAAACCCCAGCGCCAGGCTGGGTCCCGCTGCTGTGAATCAAGTTTTATTGGAACACGGCCACGCATACCGTCTCCTGTTGTCCTCCCTAGGGCTGCTTTCAGGCTATCAGCAGAGCTGAGAAGTTGCAACAGATTGTATGGCCCGTAAGCCTAAAATATTTACCGCGTGGCCCTTTGCAGAAAATGTTTGCTGACTACGGTTCCCGGAGACACTGGCTCCCATCTGCCTGGACACGTGGAGGTGTGTTCACAACAGTGGAAGGCGGAGTCAACACGACATCCGTCAATAAAGGAATTAATAAGCCACGGAATACTAGTTACCAGTTAAGAGGAACAAGCTAGATCCACAGGTATCCAAACGGGGAAGGTCTCAGAAGCACACTGCGGCCTGAAGAAAGCGACCAGCAAACGTACCAGCACCGGGGGGAAGCACCGAAAACCCCCCGAAGCAGTAGGAACTGCTTAGAAAGTAAGGCTCACACCAGCTCTTCCCCGTGACTGCCCTGGGGGACAATGGGCCTGGGGCGAAGGCAGAAAAGACATCAACTTTTCCAGTGTGCTTTAATTTCTTTTATTTAAAAAACTCTAAGAGGTTTTTAGAAGACCAGTCAGTGAAATGTAAACCTGATATTTACCAACACACTAAAGAAAACACAGCAGCATGTGTTTCCCCTGCCTGTAATACACAGACCTTGAAACACTTACTAAACCGTACTTTTCTGGGGTGCCTGGGTGGCTCAGTGGGTTGAGCGACCGACCTCAGCTCAGGTCATGATCCTGCAGTTCTTCAGTTCAAGCCCCGCGTCAGATTCTGTGCTGACAGCTCGGAGCCTGGAGCCTGCTTCCGATCTTGTGTCTCCCTCTCTCTGCCCTTCCCCCACTTGCGCTCTTTCAAAAATAAATGTTAAAAATAATGAGAAAATAAATAAACTGTACTTTTTTATTTTTCTGAGAGATAGAGCGCGAGCGAGCGCTCCTGTGCACACAGGAGCAGGGGCAGGGAGAAAGAATCCCAAGCAGGCTTCACGCCCAGCGCGGAGCCCAACAGGGGATCGATCCCACAACCATGAGCTGAAATCAAGAGTTGTACACTCTACCGCCTGAGTCACCCAGGCACCCCCATACTAACTGTACTTTTTTTAAAACAGCAAATTGTTCACCAAACAAGGACGTTTTTTTCCTTGTATCTTCTAAAGTCAAAATACCTACTCTGAAATGGACTCTTCCGAGGAAGTCTGAAGCACAGACCTAGCATGCTTTGCATAAAAAGCAAGGCTATAAAATTTAAACCAAGCGAAGCCTCAAAGGTTACCTCCAGGAACAGCCTGGAGGGACACACTCAAGTGCCAGGAACACGGCCAGGGACACCAGGCCAGCTCCGCAGGCCTGAACGGGAGCAGGACACATTAAAATTCCACAGCAACAGACAACAGGCCGCAGAGGAGCCAGCGCGGCGGGGGCTGTCCGGCGAGGCCTCAGCAGCATTACCCCCCGCCCCTCCCCCTCCCCGTGACACTACAGGGGCCCCTCGAATGTCACTCTCACCAGTCTTCTCACTGGCGGCTTCGGGCCACATCTTCATGACAAACTAGGACGTTTTAGGCAGAATTATCCACGTGTGCATGTGTGTGTGTAAAACTTATTGGAATTATTGGCTGCCAGCAAAACTATCCAAAAAACATCTTTCTGTTAAAAAACCAGTAAGTGAAGATACACTCTTATTTTTTAAAGTGGCTGTAACAGAAACCTGGCCGTGACGTTGGAGGCACCTGGCCTGCAAGCAGGAACCCCAGGGTCACACACCCAGGGGTGGCGGCTGGCGGGAAGCCCAGTCCCGACAGAAGTACTCCCACACCAGTAAGCAAGACCGCTGGAGGGCACATACTAACAGCAGGTAGACTGAAAACCCAGACCGGAAGCTGCCCAGGCTCTTCTCCTGCCATCGGCCAGGGCCAGGCGGCCAGCCTCCCGACCCTGCAAGCAGGGAGACGGGATGCACCAGGCAGGAAGGGGACGGCCACGGGGTCAGAGCAGAACAGGCCTCTGGCCTTGACTCCCGAGCTCCCAGGCGAGGCCACGGCCCCACCCGGGACACACTGGAGGAGCCCTGAGTTTTCTATCCTCCCGGCCGAGGAGGTGGGGGGACCTTCCAAGTGGGTGCAGCCTTTGCAGAAAGCCCTCCTTACCTTCTCTCCAGGTCTGGGTGGCTGCTGAAGCTTCTCATAGTCTTTCTTGGTCTCCAGAATCTTTTTCACAAGCCCTCCTGTTGAGAATCAGTGGTTTTATGTTATTGTCCGCCCTGAGGAGCCCTTCCATTCTAAATGGGGAGGGGGTGGGGAGGACACTAATTTCTTGTTCTTCCTCTTTCTATACTGAAAACGGTTTCAAATAATCTTTATTTGGTGCAAGAGAGCCTGCAATCCACTGAGAAGTAGCTGGTGGTGGAAATTAAGGATAAAATTTCAGTGTTTCACTACTAGGTATCCAAAGGATACAAAAATGCAGATTCGCAGGGGAACATGCACCCAATGTTTACAGCAGCAGTATCAACAGTAGCCAAAGTATGGAAAGAGCCCAAACGTCCATCGATGGATGAATGGATAAAGAAGATGTGGTTTATATATATAATGGAGTATTACTTGGCAATCAAAAAGAATGAAATCTTGCTACTTGCAACGACGTGGATGGAACTGGAGGGTATTATGCTAAGTGAAATTAGTCAGAGAAAGACAAACATCATATGACTCCACTCACATGAGGACTTTAAGACACAGAACAGATGAACATAAGGGAAGGGAAGCAAAAACAAGATAAAAACAGGGAGGGGGACAAAACCTAAGAGACTCTTAAATATGGAGAACAAACAGAGGGTTACTGGAGGGGTTGTGGGAGGGGGGATGGGTAAAGGGGTGAGGGGCACCGAGGAGGGCACTTGTTGGGATGAGCACTGGGTGTTGTATGTAAGGGATGAGTCACTAAATTCTATTCCTGAAATCATTATTACACGGTATGTTAAATAACTTGGATTTAAATTTTTAAAAATTTCAGCATTTCAAAGAAATGAGCTCCTCAAAGGTGAAAAAAACAAAACTTTGTAAATGGAAAACGATGAAGAGGAAGAGTAAATTAAACAGGTAAGTGTTGCAAACACGTGTGACAATTCTGAGCTGGTTCTAAGCACAAGATACTCCTTTTATATTAAGTCAAGAGTCTTCAGCTTCCTTAGAAAAAAAGAATTACCCATGGGGTAAATACCATTAAAAAAAACACCATTTTCTTTAAAACACCATCTCACCCAAATGTACATCAACATGAAATTGGCTGAGTAAACCCCAAGCACCTGGTCGGTGAGGGAGGCCGGGGCTGGGAGCAGGGGTGAAGCCACTTCCCCGCACCGCTGCAGAGCAAATGCCAGCACACGCTGCCCAGTGACAAAAGCCAGATGGAGAAGCATAGATCCCGGTGAACAGACACACACAGACAGAGACACAAACACACACACACACACACACACACACACACACACACACACACAGACACGTATTCATGTATACTTTTTAAAGGAAAGTATAAGCCGTATTTCTCACTGTTTCCTACAGGGGGAGGGAGAGGACAGGGCAGAAGCCCCGAATCTCTGAATCTATCTTGCTTGGTACATTTGACCTTGGAAACAAGTGACTACTTTACATACATAAAACAAAATTAAATCCAATTTTTCAATGCCTAAAAACTGAAACCAAAATGAAACTAAGAAACTTAACATCAAAGTGGCAAGCGTAGCCTAACAAAGAACTGTTCTGTTAACTGGTTGTCCGTCCCCAGTGGGACGCACCCTGAGAACAGACAGACCTACCAAGAAAACTCCTAGTGTTTTCAGTCGTCTGCTGCGGCTCATTACCGGTGGTGGCGTTCTCCAAGTGCTGTGCGTGCCGTAGGGGACAGCAAACGGACGGCTGACGGCGCTAGGAGCCAGGATGCGGGGCATGAGACAGATATGCATGTATAAAATCAAAGCTTTAGGAAAAACTCTAAAGAGTAAAGCTGCGTTAGAAATGCCAATGTGAACTTGGATACATTTTTCTCGTCTTAAAAAAGGTAAGAAAACCCCTAGACACAATGACCAATCCAGAGGCAACATGCAGCCAGGCTCCGTGGAGAGATGGAAGGTTCCAGATATGGGGCGGGAAACACGCAGAGCGAGCCTGAAACATCTTCCCCATATCAGAAGACGAGGAAGCTGCAAAGTCTCCCGGGATGTGTCAAAAGGTCCCAGACAGCCACTCGAACAGGCTCCACTGAGTCAACACTGGACAGTCAGAACACTGATGAGAAAGACTGACTTGGCTTGAAATGAAGCACATTAGGTGCATTAAAAGGAAACCCGTGATTTCATACAGGTATCAACACCAACCCTCAACAGTCAGATTGGATGGCGACAGGAAACAAACTCAGGAAAACCCATCAACAAAGGGAGAGCATGAATCATGCCGCCCACCTCTCCCATAGAGACTGAGCCCTGGGGCCACGGCTGGGGAGGCAAAGCTGTGCACGATGGCATCCTCCGGCTAACCTTGAGGAAGGGCAGGTCCGTCCTGCCGCCAGGCTAACATCACAAGCAGAGAGAGACGCAGACGTCAGGAAGAAGCACCACCACCTACTAAGTATTCTGGCACCTGACTGGGTCTCTGGAACCAAGTTACAAGCACAGAAGGGCATGTGAAAAACCACAGGCATATCGCAGGCAACACCCAACTGTGGGAAACTCTTACAGACAACCAACCAGCTTCTTCAACAAATACATTATGAGGGAAAAGGGGAGGGAGGTTAAGAGAGACCTAAGAGTTAACATCAATCAGCTGCAACGCAGGGACCTTATTTGGATTCTGACTCAAAGTAGAAAAAATATACAAAACATCTAGGAAAACAGTATTTGATGACATTAAGAAATTGTTTTGTTACCACAGTAGAATTATAGTTATATATATATATTTTTAAAGAGCCCTTCTCTTTTAGAGGGACACGTGACATGTTAACAGAAGAAATGATCTTCTCCAGGACTTGAAAACAATCTGGGGGAGACAGGAAACCATCAAAATCCTAGAGGAGAACAAAGACAGCAACCCCTTTGACCTCGGCCACAGCAACTTCTTACTAGACACATGGCTGGAGGCAAAAGAAAGAAAAGCAAGCATGAACCACTGGGGCTTCATCAAGACAAAAAGCTTCTGCACACCAAAGGGAACAACCAACAAAACTAAAAGCAGCCAAAGGAATAGGAGAGGATCTTTGCAAACAACATATTGGACAAAAGGTTAGTATTCAAAATCTCTAGGAACTTATCAAACTCAACACCCAAGAAACAAATAATCCAGTGAAGAAATGGGCAGAAGACATGCATAGATACTTTTCCCAAGAAGACATCCAGATGGCCAACAGACACATGAAAAGATGCTCAACGTCACTCATCATCAGGGAAACACAAATCAAAGCCACACTGAGATACCACCTCACACCTATCAGAGTGGCTAAAATTAACATAAGAAACAACAGGTGTTGGCAGGGATGCAGAGAGAGGGGAACTCTTTTGCGCTGTTGGTGGGAAAGCAAACTAGTGTAGCCACTCTGGAAAACAATATGGAGGCTCCTCGAAAAGTTAAAAATAGAACTATCCTATGACTCAGCAATTGGGTAATTTGGATAAATATGAATAGGTATTCACCCAAAGGATAGAAACATACAGAATTGATAGGGCACATGCACCCCAATATTTATAGCAGCACTATCAACAATAGCCAAACTATGGAGAGAACCCAAATGTCCATCGACTAACGAATGGATAAAGAAGATGTGGTACACACACACACACACACACACACACACACACACACACACTGGAATACTACTCAGCCATCAAAAAGAAGGTAATCTTGCCATTTGCAACAACATGGATGGAACTAGAGTATATTATGCTAAGTGAAATAAATCAGAGAAAAACAAATATATGATTTCACTCATACATGGAATTTAAGAAACAAAACAAACATGGGAGGGGGAAAACAGAGGGAAACAAACCATGACTCTTAACGAAAGAGAACAAACTGAGGGTGATGGAGGAAGGCGGGTGGGGGATGGGTCAGAGGGGTGATGGGCACTGAGGACGGTGCTTGTCAGGATTGAGCCCTGGGTCTTTATGCAAGGGATGAACCACTGAATGCTACTACTCCTTTTGAAGAATTGTTTTTTAGTGTTTATTTTTGAAAGAGAGAGAGACAGAGCATGAGCAGGGGAGGGGTAGAGAGAGAGAGAGGGAGACACAGAATCCGAAGGAGGCTCCAGGCTCTGTGCTGTCAGCACACAGCCCGATGCGGGGCTCGAACCCACGAACTGCGAGATCATGACCTGAGCCAAAATCGGACACTCAAGTGACTGAGCCACCCAGGTGCCCCACTGAATGCTACTCCTGATGCTGATATTACAATATATGTTGACCAAGTGGAATATAAATAAAAACTTAAAAACCAAACAAAGAAAACAGCGTGGGGGAATGGGGGTCTGCAGGAGGCAGAGACTTAGAGAAAACGAGATGAGCCGATCACGGCTGAAGCCATGTGATGGGTACAAGGGGGTTCATTAGGAGACTCTTCCTGCTTTTGCAACTGTTTGAAATCAAAGACATTTGGGAAGAGAACAAATATTACAAATATTGTCGATTTGGAAACAACCCCAGAGGTCGAACCTCTACCCTAACCCCACGCCACGCTGGAAGCTACTGACCGAGCCCCAGGGTCCTGGGGCGCTGCACCCCTCGAATCCGGGACTACGAGCCACCAACCGAGGAGGAGCCCATCCGTGCTGTGGTGTCTCACTGATGCTCCTCAGAACCCTGGCCGACACGGGGCGCTCAGAGCTCAAGGGCACGGCACCCCTCCCGCGCACAGCTGTGCGCACCTCACACTCACCATGTTTCTCCTCTTCCTCCACGTCTACCGCTGGCACCTGGGCAGGAAAGGAAGGAGGAAAAAGCTGATTCTCGAAATCCTGCCTCTGCGGATGTCCCCAAAGCAACGACAGAATTAAAGAAGGAGGACATCTAACTGAAAGGTTAGAGGAACGTTCGTCTCCGGAACCTGAATGCGGGAGCATGGATTCCAGCGTCGTCCAAGTGCAACTACAAAAACACGCTCCCGCTAACTCACCACTTCAAGTTCGGACATCTCAGGGAGCGGGGGGGCGGCCTCCACCACAAACTGGTCGTCTTCCTCACCGTCGGAGTTCTGTGCGTCTACAATTACACTGGCCACGGCTTTGCCACTCCCTGTCCTGGAGCACCAGAAATCACATCACACAGGAATGTGCTGGCCACACGTCTGCATCAATCCCATGCACCCCGGGCTCCGAGGGAGGAGTTCAACCACCAACCACCTCCAGAACATCACAGAATGTAGGCCTGGGTCCCTGTGAGTCCTGCCCTCTGTGCCCCTACTAATGTTGGCCTCTGGTCCTCACCCAGCCCCCTCCCTGTGCCCCTATCTCACAAGGGCCCCCAGAGCCTCCCCCACCCAGAGCCTTGCCCCTCCCCTGGCCGCACTCTCTGGACACCAGCCCTCCGCCTGCGGCCTCTCACCTGGAGGGCCCTATTCTTCCAAGTTGCAACACCAGGGCAGGGGTGGCAATGTGGCCACAGACCCCTGCTTCTGGGTCTCTCCCAGGAACACAGCAGCCTCCCCCGGTCCCACTTTTCTGGGTCCTGCTCCCTGCCCAGCACCTCCTCTCCCCCGAGTCCTACCACCGGTCTGAGTCAGCCTAACACCCAGCTGCCCAGCCCGCAGGCCTGGCCCTGTCCCCCCAGGTGACCGCTTCCATCCTAGGGCTCTCTCAGGCCTCCCGTGGCCACTCTCAGGAACTGCCCCGCCCGCTGCCACCCCACTGCAGGCCGCTGTCAGCTCCCCTCTGCTCGCACACTAACTTCTGCTGCACCTGTGCCTGGACCACAAGCCTCCAGACTAAATGCACCGTGGCTCCCACCTGCCTTCTCCTCCTCCCGACCCGCCTAACACAACCACGCTTCACCGAGTGCCCGTAACTCCCTCCCCACGATCACAGAACAGCCAAGTGCACGCACACACATGCAGGCTCGCGTGCACACGTGCACACCCTCTTCCTGGCTTCGGGGACCTTGTACAAGGTCAGGAGGGAACCTGTGCTTGGGCGTGAGCTCTTGAAACGGTACACGTTTCTCCGGCACCAGGCCCTTCAACCCTCAAAAGCATCATCCTGCCCCCAGCGGGGCCCAGCCTCGCTTCGCCCCGTGCTCCCCCACACCGCCCCCGGCGTGCCCCGAACCCCTCCCACACACACTCCCCCATCAGGAAGCCCTCTCCACCCTCACCCCGCCTCGCAGCAGAGGCCTCACCTGTCCGCCGTGAGCGCCTCCGCCCCGTCTTGACGCTTCACCCGGGGAGGCGCTGGTCTCGCACTCCCAGGCCGAGGTGGTTTTCTAAACCCAGATATTGGAAAACCAGAGAGGGAATGTGACACACTTGCACATTTCAAAGGGGACGACAGAAAACCCAGGTCAATGTCATCGCTAATTTCCCACCGTCAACTGGTCAGGACGCAGTCTGCAGAGCATTAAGAACATTCCTGTAACCTGACAAGTTGAAAGTATCTGTCTTTTAATCCTGTATTTTCATTAAATTTAAGATCCAAAAAGTAACCAAAACATTACCATAATTATGAATTTCCCTAAATCTTTAAAATGCCCTATGTGTAGTTACTTATACCCAGCATGTGAAAATTAAGCAAACGGTTTTTGCGTTCTTTGTACAGGCATTTCCTCATAATTAAGCTCAAGCACCGGACAAACGGCAGAAGGTGCAAAGAGAGAGCAGCACGTTGGCCGCAGACCTGATGTTGGCCGGAAGCTCGCTCGGCAGCTCGGATTTCTCCTGGACAGAAGGTCCGACTTCTTCTGAAGCGTGACAATCGCATCAGCAATTCACAAAGGAAGAAACACAAATAGGTAAGTGCTTGAAAAGACAGCCATCAGGTAAGTGCAAATGCAAACGAGCTTTATTCGTCTATCATTTTAATGAAGACAGAACAGTCGTTTCTAGAGGTGGGGAAGATCTGGGAGATGGCGTTCAAACCCTGGAAGTACAAACCGATTCTGTTTCTTTGAAAAGGTGGGTGGATCCGGTCAGCTACAATCTGAGAAGGATGGACGTGTGTAATTAGCGGTGTCAAGAGGGTCACCTGCCACCGTGTATTAGTGACGGGCGGTGGGTAACTCCAGCCGCACACTGGACCCTCTGCACAAAACGTCATCACTCCAACATGTAACAGTAACGAGCATGTCTCATCACCACACACACACACACACACACACACACACACACACACACGACAGGGGTCCTAGAAGGACTGTCATTTCCATGAGAAACAGTGCTTTTCATCTCCTTCTTCATATTTTTCTGCATTTAAACAGATTCTACTTTGGGTATGGACCAAATTGTTTCTGTAATCTGAATAAAGCTTTTCATTTTGGTGAAAGGACTTAATCAGTAAGTAACAAACTCTATTAAGGCAATTAAATTCATCCCACTATTTAAAGTAAAAAGCCTTTGTATTCTAGAGAATAGAATGAATCAAAATTTGAATTTAGAAATGTACTTTTTACTCTGGAAAGAGTCCTGAGATGCATTCTTCTGGAACATAAGGTGTGTAGATTAAATCTTAAAGTGGTACACATATGGTTCCTTAACAAATCTGAGAGTCTATGTTCATATTGACACACACACACACACACACACACAATTTATAGCAAACACACTTAGTGCAGGCCATTCCTTACCTGTATCACTAGGGGAGTCACCTAAAAAAAAAAAAAAAAATGCACATCAGAAAACCGACTTTTGTTTTAGTGAAGCTCGGAATATGAAACGAGCAGGACTAGGGAAAAACACAAACTAAGTAACACAAACGCCTGTCGGGAAAACACGGCCCTTTCCTCGGAGCCTTTTCCAGTGTCCCACTGTGATCACTTTGTTTTCAAAGAGGGAAAGACAAAGAAGAAAGGAAACTATGACCCATAAAATGCCATTAATGAAAAGACGAAAGGGATATGAAGAGAGAGGATCACACATACAGACGAAAGATACAGGCAACAGCTGACACGCCCAGGAAGCCGCCAGCAGACCGACGGGGACACGAGGGACGAGAGGGGTGACCTGGCAAAGAAGGCTCCGGGCACTCTGACGACTGGACAAGAGCGACGGGGCCCTCCCCGCAGAGCTGGCCAGCAGGGCTCTGCCCCGGCCTAGCTCCCTATGGGCTACCTTTGCTCTTTTCACTCAGGATCCTTCTTCAAGGGCTGCTTTTTGGGGACAGAGGTGACCTACGTGGCCACAAGCACACGAGTGAAGGCCCGGCAGGGGTGGGGTGGACCCCAAGTCACAGGAGGACAATCTCCATGTGACACGACCACGTTTGCAGAAGCACTGAAGCTGCACGGGTCTGAGTCAGCGCCAGGGACCCGGGGTCGCCCCGAGGGCACACATGCACCCACAGGGGGAAGAGTGCTCCTCGGACACCTTAGCCTGCCCGCTGAGGCGCACTTGAGAACGTTCTGGTCACCGGTCATAGAGCCACGTGAATGATGCTCCAAAGAAGGTGGCTCTAGGGACAGGAGAGGCCACGCCTCCGGGGCGACGGGAACCGGCAGGCCCTACAGGGCCCGTACGTAGGGAACACAGGAGCCTCCCGGAGGTCACGCTGCACAGAGTGACAGGGCAGCGGCCAGGCCCAGTGCAACTGTGGGTTGGTGGTTAGGAAGCACCCGGAAATGGCGCTTCCAGACAGCGCCACTGGAAGGACGGGGTGATGGCAACAGGGGGCTTGGGCTCAACCCCGGGACGGGCCTGCCCTGGGGCCAAAGCAGGTAGAGCAGACCCTCTCCTTGACACCGTGCTGCCTGGCCCTGGACCCCAGACTCCGAAGCTCTCGTCGAAACTCACGCCATCGGGTTGGGGACACACCGCGGCTGCTGGAGCTCAAGGCTGACACCCGGATGGTGAGCTCACAGCGGCCTCACCCCTTCACAGGTGGGGTCCCCCGCCCTTTGGCGAGGGCTCCAGCCTCAGGGGCGCAGGTCTCGTCCGGACCCTTCACCAGCTCTGCCTCTTTCCCCGCCCACGCACACCCCCTCCCTGGGCAGACCCTGCCCGGAGCACTCCGGAACCTGCCTGTCCCCCCGCCGCCCACACGGCCCAGGCCACCCCCGCCTGGACCAAACTGACGCGACCCACGTGCGATTCAGCTGCTCAGCCAGCACGCACCCAGCCCCATGCGGCCCCGTGGCCCCCACGCTCCCGGCCAGCACCCCTCACCACACGGCGCCCCCCAGGCCGGGTCCCCGTGCCCACCGCCTCGGGCCTGCCACGCACCCGGCCTGCGGCGTGCACGAGCCGACGAGTATCACCCGGCCCGCGGACGCTGGCTGCGGGACGTCCCCTCCGAGCCCGACACGTGCCCGGCAAACGCCGGACGCATCTTTCACCACAATGTTTTCTCGATGCAGAGAAAAACCAGGCCCAGAGCAGAATCTCAGCAAGGTGCGACTTAGGACACCCCGAGGACATGACAGAAACGTCGCGTCAGGGCAGTGTCCCGAGCTGTTTAGAAGTCCTCTCTGAACACGAAACGTGGGAGGTGTGCGGCTGGGCCGACGGGACTCCAGCAGTGACTCTGAAGCTCGGTTCGGGTCGTTCCCGACTCCGCCTGGGCTCCGCCCGCCACCCCAGAAAGGACACTGGGGTCACCACGCAGTGACCAGCCTGCCCTAGCCCCGCTGATGTGAAAAGGCGACAGTGGGCCACCCACCACATCCAGTCCCAATGAAGAACCGGGGACTGGACTCCGTGTGGGTCAGAAAGCCACGGGGAGCTGGCTGCCGCCCTCTGGGGAGAGAGGAGCCCCCCGGGGTTACATCTGGGGGGACCCCTCCCCCTCACCGAGAAAGGAGTGAGGAGACGGTGTCCCGCTTACCTTTCTGCTTCGCTGCTGGCTCTGGCTCGACGTGCTCACGCCTCAGACTAGCGGAATTATCGTCTGAAACGTTAGCTGAGTTAGTAGTAGCTTCTTTTGTGCCTGACGTAAAACAGTTTAAAATGGGTCACGAAGACGCACACACAGGCGGGTCCCCTCCGGCTCTAGTACTTACCCCGCTCTCCCACCCCACAAGCTCCCAGAACACCCACTGAAGGCAGCTTTGGACAACTCACACCCAGAACGTTCCTCTCAGCGTGGCTGTGGGATCAGGAGAGGGAAGGGGTGCCCGGACTGTGAGCAGACCCCAGGCCCACTCAGCCCAGGCGGAGGCGTGGAGTCCCCACGGCCGAAGCCAACTAGCCCCTCCACCGCCATTTCCAGAACCTTCTCCACCCACCCCCCCACTGCGGCCAGGCCCAACTGAGAAGCCGCAAATAGGTGGCCGTGTCAGGAAAGCAGGGCGAAGAGAAAAATCCTTCCAGCACAGTGCACAGTCCTAGAGATTGAAAGTTCCCAAATAACTTGTGTACTGATGGCTGACTAATGTGCCAATGTCTATGAAAATAGAAAAAATATCAAACACCTAATAAAACATTTTTTATACTAAAAATAAGGGGCAGGAGGTGCTGGAGGAACAGATTTTAAACTGTGGCAGGACCCAGGGTAGAAAGCTAACCCATCACCACAGGACCTCACTCTCTAAAATGAAATCAGGAGACAAAAATAAAATTAGAAAAATTGTTCCCTTTCCTGAAACACAACCTTACAATTTCTTTAAAGTATTCAAATAAACAGTTTATATCAGAATCAAACTATTATTAACTATCAAAGACCTGATTTTATGTAACAGGACCACATACAATAGAAGACACGCAATTTTCTAAGGAAATTTTGTTTGGTCTATAAAAATGCTTTAAACAGCCTGATTCCAATAGTTCATTATTTATGATCTATAAGACAACCAAAGAATATGATATACTAACCTCAAAAATAAATCTAAACTTAAACATCAGCTTGGCAACTGTAGATTATCAATTTTAAAAGAAAACACAAGAACTATAGGTTGTTACACTTTATTTGAAAGTGTCAAAACTTTCCTACACTATACAAAACCCACCACACGGTAAGTGATTTCCAAATGCATCGCCTCTGCCTATATCTCAAGGGGACCAATGACACTTGGCACCATTTCACCGCTTCCAAGATCTTGTGGCATTCTTTCTTTCTTTCTTTTTAATGTTTATTTTTGAGAGAAAGAGAGACAGAGTGCAAGCAGGGGAGGAGCAGAGAGAGAAGGAGACAGAATCCAAAGCAGGCTCCAGGCTCCGAGCCGTCAGCACAGAGCCCAACGCGGGGCTCGAACCCACGGACTGTGAGATCGCGACCTGAGCCGAAGTCAGACACTGGACCCTGAGCTACCCAGGCGCCCCAACTCTGCATTTTTATAATAAAAAGTTGTACACAACAAAGCAACAGGACACGGGTGAGAGCACCCGAGCACAACACAGCCGTAAGGATGTCCCCATGTCCCGTCGAACAGCGGCAGAGAGAACAGGCCCATCACGCAGCTGGCGCTCCGATACGGAGCAGGGAAGAAGCGGACAGCTTCCCTGTGGGGTGGTTCGGGGTGTGTGGGAGAGCAAGAGGGAGGACACAGCAAAGCGCAGGAAGGCTCCCGTGACGTCCCGGTCCCGTGGGCGGGCCGCTGCGGCCGAAGTCAGGCCAGGGCCCGGGGAGCAGGCACAACAGGGGCCAGCATGGCTTAGCAGCACCAGCTCAGGGTGAGGGGACCCGGGAGGAAAGGCTCAGTGAGCAGACCCAGCACTGGATCTGGAAATCACGCCCAGCTGGAAAATCAGCCAAGATGAGGCAGCTGAGAAAACGGAGACCCGACAGCACGAGATGACCCCTGTGACAGGCACGCTGGTGACCTGCAGGGGCGGGACGTAGGGGCAGGGGGCGGAGGGAGGGGACCGCCCAGGGACCGGGTGCAGGGCTCTACTCGTGGCCGCCAGGGGGCACCGGGCTCCGTTCCAATCTCTGCGAAGCTCTCAACTGAGAACTGTGTGCCACAGGGTTCCGGAAGAGAACACCCACCAAGTGAGGGCACAGGTCTAAACAGCCACTCGGGTGTACTTCCATCCCATCAGACCATCTCAGCACAAGACCCACAGTAACTAACGGGGCATCTGCAAAGCAGGTGCCTGCCGTGTGGCCCACGTGCGACAAGCTGGCCACTTTCTGGGCGGAGCTCATTTAGCCTCAAGGCAGGTGCTTCTACACCCACTGAGCGCAGAGGGGACTGCGGCTCGGACCACGCACCCAGGAAGCTTGCTCGGGGCCAAGAGGTGGCAACGGCAGGAATGGGGTCTTCCCTCTGGTCTGGGACACGGGCAGACGGTCACCGCCCGGCCGGCTGCCCCAGGTGGCGGTCTCCGCTCACATGACCGGCACCACCCACCCCTCTCCCGTGCTACGAGGGCTGCCCGGGGCTCCTCTCCTCGGAGCTGCCCGCAGCTGAGCCTCCGCAGAAAGGAGATCCGTATACTTTGAGAGGATGTGGCCGAACGGCAGCACGCCCCCCCCCGCCGTCAAGTTCGTCGGTGAGAACCCCCTCTGCCCCACCCCCACTCGTGCTCACGCTCTCTCTCAAAAATAAATTTAAAAACACATTAAAAAAAAGATTTACGCTATATTTTCTCTTAAATGTCACTCAAGCTTCTTAATATTTCTGAAAAATTTAACGTCACAAATACTGACACTCATCAAGGATCACCCCATCTGAAACCCCGAATTCATGCACCTAATGGCTCCACAGCAGCAGGGCGGGGACGCGACGCACCTGTCCCACTGCCGCCTCAGGGTAAGAGCGCAAGCCACGGGCAACAACGTCCCCTCGTGCCGCAGCAAGCACCCTAAAACCTTTATCGGGGGCATTCCCTTAATACAACACAGCAGAGCAGGACCGGAAAGCTGAATAATTTCTCTATCCACCCGTCCACATCGTTTTTCTAAATCCCACCAACAAGATGAAGAAAGCATCTTGATCTAGATGCGAAAATGAGTTACGTGTAAAAAGGCACGTAAAAGTTAACTAAAACTGAGTTAATATTCTTTATCATAACTTAGCAAATTAAAGCAAGTGGAATATCGATGTCATTGATATTGTATCAATATTTGGTATCATTTCTGATCTTCAGTACATCATGATCAGAATAATAAAAGATATAACTACACCGAGATAAATACTTTACGTCAAAGTGGTAAAGAATTTAAACTAAAGAATATATTTTTCTTACCTATATCCGAGGTCGTAGTTCCCTGATCTGGTTCATTATTTAATCCAGACACTATGGAGCCTAAAATTTTAGCTGAGATACTATCTTCCTTTCTTCCTGACACAAAATAGTTAACAACAGATTAAAACATTGCAGAGGACTCTGCGTGTGGGGCAGGTCCTCCCGTTGGGACGGACAGGGCTTTACACGAGGCTCATGCTCGCTCATCCCCTCCAGAGTCACAGGACACACGCCTCCCCGGCTCTCAGGACACCCTCTCTCCGGACTGTGGGACCCCCAGCGGTACCGCCTCCGCCCTGCAGGTCCTGGCGGGCTCCAGAGCCCGCCCTCTTCATCTCCACGGTCCCCTACTTGAATTTCACACGAGTTTCCATGTCAGGGAAAGACCACCGTGCAAAAGACCCCCACCTCCTTCGACGTCACCTTCAGTGGCTCCTGCCCCTCCCTGAACCCCGGGCCTACGCCTCCGACTGCTGTCTCCACACACCACCGGGCTGTTCGCAGGCACTTGAACCTCGTGCGCGGGAAGCAGAATTCCTCGTGCTGCCGCCCATCCCACCAACCGTTTCCTCCCAAAGCCCCGTCGCTTCAGTGAATGGGCCTCACAGGTGCCCAGCCCCCTCCCCACTGACCTTACCTCCGTGCCCTCTCCTTTCTAGCAAGGGCCCCGTGGTCACCCCGCATATCCGTCATCCTTCTATAAATGAGTCCTACACCCAGTCTGCTCTCACCAGTGACACTCGGGTCCCTGCCATCATGGTCTCACCCGGACACCTACCTGCCGTCCGGCCTCCACACTTGCGCCTCTCTAGTTTCAAAAGGAGATGCTTCTAAAACCTGAGTCTGATCAGGCCTCTGTCCGGCCTCATGTCCTCCCAGGGCTTCTGCTCACACTCGCTACAAACACTTGACCAACGTGGCTCACACCTCGGGCCTCCCTCCTCAGGGGCCACTCCCCCCTTCCCCTCCCTGCCCGCCTCGCTGCTGGGCCTCCCATCACTCACACAGGTCGAGGCTGTCCCCCGCCCAGGGCCTCTGCCTGTTACCAGACGCCCGCACGTCCCCCGTCACCTTGTCAACCCTGTGTCCAGATGGCCCGTCCTCGGAGCCTCTCTGCCTACGCACCCCGCCCCTACCGCACCCACCCCTCTCGGCTACAGTTTCCATCAAAAGTCTCGTCATTAACGTGAAGGCAGCACCCTCGTTCTCTTTATTATCTGCCTTGTCCCTCTACGTTACACTCCCCGGGGGGGGGGGGGGCAGGTACTCCAGAAATATCTGCAGAACACTCAAATGGACAATTTCAGCCCGTCACTGACTTACGGTAGGAGACCCACCCACGGTTGGGGCAGCTCTGGTGGGCAGGGCTTCACGCCCCGAGCCTGCACCACCCTGGCCAGAGCCACCCCTCCACAGCCCTGGCCCGGCTCAAGCAGGGCTCCACCCGCAGAGCCGCACCTGTCCCCTGGTCAAAGAGAAGCAACGGTGTCACTCTCCAACATTCACAGCCCCCACGAGGGCTTGCTTAGTCTTACCGAGCTGTTTCACGGTATGTTCCTTCTTAGCTTTACTGTAGGAAGGGTTATGTTGTTTTTCAGGGGAGGCACTATTTTCACTGGTTCTAGAGTCCCTTCTTCCTGATGTGAAATTGCACAATGAAAGTACGTGTTAAACTTAACTTGTAATGCTTCACTGTACAGTCACTCGTAGTATATTTTTCTGCTATAAGACACTACTTAATCATAGGCAAAAATCATCGTGTTGTTATGAAGAATGTTTTTTGGGTTCTGTGGGGATTCTAGAAGAGCTTTAAGAGTCTGTGTGTCTAACAAACCTGGGACCCCACACTCCAGTAAATGTAGGCTCATCTCCTTGAGTAGAACATAGATGTCCTGTGCCTCATGCACCTTGCGGATGCTGGACATTTGCCCAAGTGCCCTGTGCCGTACCCATTTGAGCACGGCAGCTCTGGTGGGGGAGGCTGGGCGCTGAGGTCCGCGCCCGACTGGCAGGCAGGGGAGAGCCCACCAGCTTGCTGACACCTCGGTAAAGCTCATCATCACAAAGCCTGGAATCTCTGGTGATCGGATCTCAGTGAGACCACGGGAAAGGAGCCCTAAGGCACAAGCTCCCCAGTCAACTCAGACGCACACGCCCTGAGCTATTAGAAAAGCAGACAGTAACAACCGTCAGCTTGAAACAACCCGAAACCAACAGAACTATGGGCTGAGATGAACACAGGCCAGGTTTGGGATGCAGTGACAACAGTCAGCGACACGCACACGTTCTGACACTCATCGCTAGTAACGGGGGGGGAGAGAAGACACCATCGCTGAACAAAGTGACCACGAACGAGCGCAATCCTGACCACCGACACCGCCCAGCATGGGCACACGCGTCCTCTTGGGGGAGGCGGAGACACGCGTCCTGACTCGAAACCACAGGTGTCCAGTCTTCCCCAGTGAGGGCACAGGCAACCTAATCCTGACAAACTAATTAGTTCTGTTCGAGGGACGTGAGACTCTTTGATGCAATGTTGTAAAATAACCTGGAAGAATAAGCGCATAAAATGGCTTAATATCAATAATTCTGGAACACCTGGTGTTCCAGAAAAATAAACTGAGAGCCTCACCTTACAGCGTCACTAAAAAGATTAAATATAAAAATGCAGGATAAAGCACAAATCTTCGTCTCTCGAATCTCTAGACAAACTACAAAAAACAAAAACAAAAACGACTGGCCGCTTCCAGTGCAGAAAAATCAAGCACTCAGGCAAGTGAGGAACGAAACACAGCGAGTAGAGATGAACTGGGGGGGGGGGGGGGGAACAAACACGTATCTAAAAATCGGCAGACATGCTTCACAGACAGCGAGCCTGTGCAAATTAAGGACAACACGGAAACTCCATCACGGCGGTGACGAGCCCACAAAGGAGAGGACAGGCCCGAGAGGTCAATACACATGATTAACACACGTTAAAAATGCACAATTTCACTAGCAATTAAAAAGAGCCAGCACCGTTCATTTTTCACGGACCCAAGTCGGCAAGCCTCAAAGACACCGGAAAAGGCGTTGGGCGCGGGGAACTGATATACACCTTGGCTGACACCCGAAAGCCTGCCTGCCCCGGGCACCGGGGCCCCTCCCGGGAGCCTCGCCCACAGAGATCGCCCACAAGAGGCCAGGTGCCGGCACAGAGACGCTCAAGGGCACCGCATACCATTATGAGGCGAGGACTCTGCCTCATCCCCGTGCCACTTCTCACGTCCAACTAGGTCCACGCTACCTGGACCTCTACGATGTAGGAAAAGGATGCCTTCTCGGACACGACCGCTGCTCAAAGTAACGTGACACTTCCCTGGAAAGCCTGCAGGGGTGCTCGCCGGCACGGCCTGACCCTCGCTCCCACCTACTGGTCCGTCAGAACCAGGTACTGCCCATGGGCTAAGCCCCGGCCGGGCCTGCCCACTTGAGCTCCAGCTCCTAGCTTTTGGCATGATTCCTGGGGACCATTTCTGATCTTTAAATGGTAGACATCACCTAAGAGCAGGGTGCTTTCGTCGGCCACTCTGCATCAGGATTAAATTGAGCCTACCGATTCACACGACCAGAGTCAAGGAAACACGGGCGACTGGCAACCATTTCTGGAAGATTAAAATTTGAGCACATCTCCCAGATTGCAACAGATCTCCAGCAAAGAGGCGCTCCCCTGCCCCTGGTGTCATGGGCTCACACACACACATGCACGGGAGACAGAGGGAGAGGAAGGGAAAGAGGAAGGGAGAGAGGGAGAGAGGGAGAAAGAGACAGACAGACAGACATATCTTCACCCCTTTCACATAGCCTTTGTTCATTCCCCCAATGGTACATCTGCCTTCTAGCCACAGGACTTTTTTCTACCAGATACGGTGACCGATTTCCATATTTTCAGTTACTTATAATGATAAATTTGCAGTACCTTCCATTGAATTTTTGGATCGCCGTTTTGACATCTTTGCTGTCACGGACCCAGACGCTCTAGTGGAAACCTCAGTCTTAAAGAAAAGAGAAGGAGAAGGAATGAATTAGTGCGTATGTCACAGCAATACGTTCAGCAGACTTCCTACTCAAGCTCTGCTTAACGAAGAACAAAGAGCAAAGAGAACACCACCATCCAGACGCTCGAGAGCGGAACGGGGCTGCTCCAGACCCGAGGCTGAACTGAACACACGGAGGCCCCTTCACTCTACAGTCAGAAACCAATCTTCTGCAAAGGCCTAAAAAGGCCAGCGGTCCACCAGCCACACTGAGAAACACTATCTTAGCAGCTGCGCTCCCGAGGACTCACTCTCGGTGGCTATACGCTATTCACTCACACGCGTCCGTCCGTAACAATTCACAGTGCGAGCGTTCACGTTTAAAGACAGCACAAAGCAGCCGCTGTGGTATTGCTGCACCTGCCAGGATGACTCCTAACTGGCCCCCAGCCTCCACTCCACACCTCATCCATCTTCCCTGAAGCTGCCTGGATACACTTTCTGAAATGCAAACTGGACTGTGAAAGTCGGGATGAGTCTAACCTCTGGGGCCCAGAGGCGCAGAGATGACATGGCCCAGCCTCAGCTGTCCCCCAGCCGTAGGATACGCACCGCGGGGTCCCACATAGGCTGGGCACAGCTTGGAGGGGTCCCTCCAGTGCCCCTGCTTTCCCTGTCTGCCTGGAGATTGGACCCTCTCCCGGATGACGCCCCCATCCCTTTGTACCCCATACATCATACTTGTCAAATAAACGAATAAGCCCACAGCCCACCATGGACATCTGGACTCCTGCATGAGCCTGGGCCATGTCCCGCGCCCGGGTCTCCGTGGGCTGGAAGAGGCCACAGTGCTGCGGTCACCACATCAACACAGCTACCCGTTTACGTCTCTTGAAATTACTTTTTAAAGTTTACCTCTGTTTCAGCTTTGGAGTCTTTCACAGATCCATCTGACAACTTTTTAGACACCTCCCCTGAGTTCGAGGACTGTTAAAAAAAACAACAACAATAATTCATCATATTCTGTTGGTATTCAAATCTGTGACATCTACAAACACATCAAGATGCGAGACGTTTCTTGCTGACCAGCAGCAAGATCACTTTCCCTTAAGAGCATCGGTCACACTCCAGGCCTGACGCCACCCATGTTTCCAAAGGGCCTTCCGGGACCTTTCTCCACGGGGCAGACCGGGCAGGGCCACGGGGTCAGGGCGGTGCCTCTTGGGAAACTACGGAACGGCATCTCCTAGACATGCGGGATCCCCACACCAGGCCAAACTCCTCAGCGAGACGCAGGAATCTGGAAACGGGGTAAGGAGTGAACAGAAACGGACACACAGCCACAGTCCGTGCTTCCGAGAGTGGGGCAACGTCCGAATGGACGCTTCTTTGTAAGCGAAGGCTTCAGGCTGTACATCGGGAAAGAGCAAATTACGTGCAAACTGCACACGCCAAGTCAGTCCTACAGTCAGGTCTCTTAACAGACGCATCTTGATGCGAGGAGGAGAAAGCAGGAGAGACTACACAGAGATCGTCCTCCTCGAGGACTGAAAAGCAAAGGACAACGGTTCAAGTCAACGACCACATGTCCTCCTAACTCCCCGCAGAAGGCACCAGGCTGTCCTCCTAATTCCCTGCGGAAGGCATCAGGCTCTGTGCGCAGCCCCTCGCCCGCCCCGCTGTCCCCTGAGGGTGAGGAGTCACTGTACCCCCAGCCCTGACACCTGGCCCTCCCCCCCCCGCACCCCCACACTCTAGACACACCAACCACCCGCCTCATCTTCACAAAAAGCCTGAGGGGGACTGAGAAGGTCTGACCATCGTCTCTTCCAGACAGAAATCGAGTGGAAGAGAGTCAAGGGAGCTGACGGAGGGTGAGGACGGGAGCCTCCCCAGAGCCGCCGGTACCAAAGTCCCAGAGCCTGGTTCCCTGGGAGGTGTCCACACGGGGTGTCCTCACCACCAGCGAGCACTGCCCTGCAGACCCCGCAGAGGAACCCCAGATTTACACGGGAGCAGCTGGCCCCGCAAAACCACCCCGACGGCCGGCTTTGGGGGCCTGGAGGACCAGCTCTGAGCAGAAGCACAGGCCCAGGGCGCCCAGCTGGCTCAGTCGGTAGAGCAGGCGACTCTTGATCTTAGGGTCGTGAGTTCAAGCCCCACGTTGGGCAAGGAGCCTACTTAAAATTAAAAAACAAATAAGTAAATAAAAATAAATTAAAAAAAAAAAAAAAAAAGGCAGCAGCAGCACAGGCCCCTCGCCCTGGTCTCACCCACGAAGTCAAGCCATCACTCCCACCAGGCTCCAGTGTCCCACAGACCCGCCTATAAAAACTCGTCTTTGGAATTAGCTTTCTATTTATAACACCGGTCACAGCATCAGCAGTTTCAGTGAACGTACAGTATGGGAAACTTCATAAGACCTGGACAGCTGAGAAGGTCATCCCGTTCCGGGGGCTGCCCAACTCGGGCACAGAAAAAAACGAGAGAACGTGCTAGCACCTCAGAAAAATGAGGTCAGTGAAAAATACTTTTTCTTAGACCTCTAAAAAGAGGCCAAAGGTGCGGAATGCCTTTGTTATTTCTAAAGCCTTTCTCTAAGGGAAGCCTGGTTTTCAGGACACATATCACAGGGCCCATCACTCCAGGGGGCTCCTGGGAGACCCTGAGGCTCCCCCAGGGTCATGCCCACCGGGCCCGTCATCGCCCAGTACAGTACATCCCAGAGATGCCACAGGGCGGGGAGGCACAACCCCGAGTGCCAGCACTGGCCCTGCTCCTCACTACCCAACCACCTCACCTGGGCAGACCCTGAACCTTTCCAGACCTTGGCCCCTCCTTCCTAGTAGCTGGAAACCAGCAGATCTCCACATTCCGCCTCTGGGACGCCAAAGTGTCCCCGTGAGAACAGGCACCTGCAAAGCCAGTCCTGACGGAGGCCTCCCCACCTCTATGAGCCCAAAAGTCACCTGCACGTTTAGAAAACACCGTCTGAAACCAAATAAATTTTCTGGCCTGTTGTAAATGTACCTGAAAACTTAATCAAACGAGAATTACAGCAATCAGAGGTCTCGTGCTCCTCCACTAATGCGCACAGGACTTAGAGGGTGGCCCTAATCCTGCCAGAAGTCAGCCATGCCCACAAGCCAGGCGGTGCGTAAGAGCCTGCACACGGCTGACGCACACGTAGGAACTGCGCGCACAGCGACGGCGTGAAGCTCCGTCTTCCAAAACGCCCACGTGCACGCCCACAGTGCAGAGGTGAGGGGAGCACCTCGTAAAACACCTGGCAATGCCTGGGGTCGGTCTGGGGTTCCCCTGGGAACCCGAGCCTGCCGTAGGCGGTGCTGGAGAGAAGCGGTTTCCTAATCGTGCCACGACGACGACAGAAATCACTGCAGGTTAAAGGCAGAGGGCTGCAACCAGGACTTTACCTTCCTCTCCGGTTTGTCGTGCTCTCTGCTCTTCTCCCTGTCGGGGTTCCTGGAGTGGTCCCCGTCCTTGCCCCTCCGCCTGTCGCGGTCCCTGTCCCGGCCCTTGTCTCGCTCCCGCTCTCGCTCTCGCTCTCGCTCCTTCCGTCTCTCCTTCTCCTTCCCGGCCTCACTCCGTCGCTCTCTCTCGCGCTCCATGTCCTTGTCCCGCTCTCGGGTGCCTCTGTCCCTGTCCTGCTTGGCCCGGTTCCTGGCTCGCTCTCTCTCTCCTTCTCGGTACTTGTCCCTCTCCGGCTCCTTGTGTCTCTCACGGTCGTTCTCCATCGTCTTGTCCTTGTCCTTGTCCTTGTCTTGTACTTTGCTTTCTTCTTTCACTTCTTCCCTCTGTTTCTGGTCTCTCCTCGCACTTTCCTCGTTTATCTCAGAATATCTTTTATCCTGAAGAAAAGGTCAAATTACAGCATCACTTATAAACACCTTTACCTGGGCTACAAAAAGACTCATTATCTCCCTTCCGGATATGCACAACTTGCAATTCACCTCTTTATCTTCACGAACTCCGGGCCCTTCCTCTCGCGCATTCCTGTTGTCCAATTCCTGAGACTTGGACGTCAGGGAGGTCCTTGCCTTCGCGTCCCCCCTCTCTCCAGCCAACACTCGTTTCACCGCATCGTCACTGGAGAGCTTGTCATCAGAGCGGGAGGAAACAAAAGGCAAGGTGAAAGTGACATCAGCACAAGTGACAAATGCGAGTGTCGGCATTCAGGGACAGCTCGTTAAACGCGTTCTGCGTCTCCCCAGGAAGGTCCTGGGAGAAAATACTAGAAGGAAATGCTGTTAGCACAAAGCACGGCCTCTCCTGGTAACTGTCGTCTCCGGCGCGTTAGCACGGACAACAAAGGCGACCCACACAGTTCCACAAGTGCCTGAACTCCGCCCAGGATCAACCGGGCCCCGCATGGAAAGGGCCTCACGGAATGATCTAACTCGAGCTCTGTGAAACACAAAAACCCTCCTGCAGCGTCCCTGCCACCGCGCAGAGGCTTCGAACACCTCCGCTCAGGAATCCCGCCTGTTCATTCCACAAGGATGCCCTGAGCGACTGTCACACGCCAGGCGCTAGACCACAGGTCAAGGACGCTTGTGCGTACTGGGGGAGAGACCAAATGCAACAATTACACGCCTGGGAGGGAGGAGAGGCCAGGGCTCTGGGACAGCCGATCCCACACCTGCTGCCAGACAAAGAAACAGGAAGCATGACCATGCAGGGGACCTCAGGGTTCAGGCATGGGCGTGAGAGCTGAGAGGGAGCCGGGGGACAGGAAGTAGACCAGATCTCCAGAAGCCTTGTGAGCCAGGCCATGGAGAGGCTGTGCCCAGACGCAACAGGAAGCTGGCAATGGATTCAGCAGGGAAGGCAGGAGTCAAATGTGTTTTGAAAGAGAAGGAACATGAAGGATGCAGGGGTGAGGACTGGGGACAGAGCCGGGGCACTGGCGGAATGAGCTCCTCGTTTCCAAGCCTGAGAGTTGGATGCAAACCAGGGCGAGACTCTCTGGAGGCCTCCTCGGGGCCCTGCTCCCCACCCCCACCACCGCTGTGTGGGCTGAAGGCCACCCTTTCCCACTTTGGCGACATGGAAGGTTAGCCCCCGCCCACGATCCATAGGGTCCACGAAAGGCTGTATCAGCAGCTATGCCCTCTCCCCAGGCCTTACAGACACCTGCTCCCATCACCAAGCTGAGATGTCCTTAACGTCCTTGGCAAGAATGACCCAGGCTGGGTCTAAGCAGAGACCCCAGCTTCAAACCCACAGTGAGGATCCCAGGAAGTAACCAAGCGGCCCCTGTACAAGTGACACAAGGTGTCTCTGAAGGTAGCACAGCTCTGCAGCCAACAGCCAGGAGGAGAGGAGGAACAGAGGGACAGTGCGGGGCAGGGGGAGGGAAGGAAGGGATGGAGAGAAGCAGAAAACAGAGGCTGGAAAGGTAAGCAGAGGACAGGAACATCCCATGAGCCCCAGAGAAGAAGAAAAGCAGGTCCTCTGCCCTGCCCACCCCCTGCCCCCGCCCCCGCCCCCACCCCTGCGCTGGAAGGAGGCCCAAAAGGAGAAGGCAGGCAGGGCTGGGTGCACGGGCACGCAGCCTCCAGCCACCCGCCCCGAGAGCAAGCGCCTGTGAGGTCCCCTGGTTCACAGTGAAACCTGGAGAAGGTGTGCGTGGCATCCCCTCACTTGTTTCACGGTACAGTTTTAAATCGCTTCTCCTGCGACTTGGAGGCTGCGAAGCATAGCCTTTGACAGATGCCACCGGACCCTCTCCCCACGCTTCCGACCCTGCCGTCCCCATCTTGCTTTCTGGTCCTGCCAGCTCTGCACCCCTGCACTACCTTGCTGAGACAGCACTTTGCAGTTCGCCAGCATTACCTTGCTGAGGCAGCACTTTCCAATTCTCTGCAGCAGCTCGTTAGTTCTCTCAGGCTCGTGCCCGGCCACGATCCGCACTGGTTTCGCCGACAGCGGCTCTCCTGAAACCATCACCACCACGTCTATGGCCTTCTGAAGGAAGCTAATTTTTGCATCTTTATCCTGAAAGATTTCCATTCAAAACACAAACAAAAAAGTACTTCCAAAGAACTCTGCACCTTCTTCGGTATGTTCAACAGGCACGCTTACTGTTGGTAGATGTCAAATCTGGAAATACGAACCCTCTGTCACAAAACAAAACGACTCGCTGACGCTTTTAATTCTAGCGGAGAGGCCGGAAGAAACCTTGAAACACTGACTCCATTTGTTAACGGATAAAATCAGCACGATGCGCAGTTGGCGGAAAAAAGGAAACGGAACGGGAAGGGCGAACCGCAGCCCACAGAGTGACCGACCCCTCGAGCCGACACACACCCGGCACGCCGCTGACAAAACACCCATTCGTTAAGGTGAGGGTGTGACGCCCCCAGCCTACCTTAACGTTGTCGGACTTCATCTCGGCATCCGTGTAGAGGCCCTTCATGAAACCAGTCACCCTGATCACCTTCAAAAGATCGAGGCCACGGTCAGCACCTCACGGGACAGCCCCTTCATCAGCCTCACCCCCGGAGCCCCATGGTTGGGAGCCGTCAGAGCCTGTCCACATCCAGGATTTAATTCCTTCACTTGCTCAACAAGCTTTTGAGTATCTACCACATGCACAGCCTTTTACCAGGCAGGACCCAGTCTGGAAGTGGGGACAGGTGAACGTTACAAAGACTTGCGGGGCACTAGGGAGCACTAGATCGGTCCCCAACCCAAATGCAGGAGGGGCAAGTGTGTCAGGGAAAGCTTCCCAGAGGAAATCAGATCTAAACTGAGGCCACCGCTACCAGGAAACGAGAGTGGGGGGCGGGGGTGTTTAGGAAACATGTGTCAGGCTGAACGGTCCCTGCAAGTTCCCGGGGCCAAGAGGGTCCCGTTCAAGGGAGCAAAAGAGTTCAGTACAGGGATGCCTGGGTGGTTCAGTCGGTTAAGTGACCGACTTCGGCTCAGGTCATGATCTCACAGTTCGTGGGTTCGAGCCCCGCGTCGGGCTCTGTGCTGACAGCTCAGAGCCTGGAGCCTGCTTCGGATTCTGTGTCTCCTCTCTCTGCCCCTCCCCCACTCACACTCTGTTTCTCTCCCACTCTCTCTCTCTCTCTCTCTCTCAAAAATAAATAAACATAAAAAGAGAGAGAGAGAGAGAATCCTTAACATTCCTGGAACCTTTTCATTTTGTCTCTTTTGACGTTTTCCTAGTTTGCAGGCAGTAAAATTGTGAATAATAATTTTAAGGGACACAAAACATTAATCTCACAAGATCAATGCTTTGATTTATGAAAGAGGCTGAGTTAGTTGAGCCGTAGCTAAGATACCAACGGTGATTTGAACACGATACTCAGAGGCAGTGAAGAATTTTCAGAGGAGACTCTTCACCCCCTACCTGAAAATGCTTTCCAATAGGTCAATCATCCTAATATCCTTAACAAGTAGGTGCCAGTTAATGAATTTGCCTTTACACAGGGCAGAGAAATTAATTTCAGCATTAGATTAGGAAAGAAAACCCATGAAAGAAAAGCAGACCGTCGGTTCCCAGCGAAGAACGTGTAACTCCTTCCACACAGCCTGGCTGCCTGGTCAATCGAGTCAATTCCTGCTAGAATGTCCCTCCTCCTCCTCCACTTCAATGTTCTCTGGCCTTCCAGGAGCCCAGCACCACACCAAGACCCACAGGATGAGGCATATGCCCCCTGCCTCCCCACTTCAGTGGCCAGACAGGACTAACACAGAAGGTAAAGGTGTCATGTCGGGCCATGGTGGCACGCACTGGGGTCAGGCAGCCTCACCTCCTGGCTTAGACGTCACTACCTGCCTACTTCGCAGGATAACACAGCACACAGCCCAGCTCCCACCAGGCTCTCCACACGGCCCTGTCCCCTCCCAAACACTGGCCGGGACAGGTGGAAGGAGGTAGAGGCTAGGCAAGACAGCCCTGGGATGTGGCTGGGATTCCAGAGTCTCAAGCACAGTTAGGGTGTTTAACACAGAGGTGCACATTATAAACTAAGCTGAGAGAGCGGATAAGTAAAGCAGTTTGTGGAGAGGAAGGCGCCCACCGGTTGGAAAGAGAAGTGAAGACGAGCACCAATTCGGGGAGCCCTCAGAAGCCTGCAAGTTCAGCCTGATTCCTAACTCCCAGAGGCCACGCCCAAGTTGCTGGGTTCAATACCCTTCTTAGCTGCACCACGAAACGCGCCTCGGCCTGAGTTACCAGGAGCCTTGACAGCCCGGTTCAACGACGAAGGCTGGCTGTGCACCTTCTGTGTACCTTACTCAGTTCAGTTCACCCAGGATATGGCAACAGACACACACGGTCTCCACCGTTCGGTAATTCACCATCCACTGGGGAAAAGTTACAGACAATCTCCATGGAGGCCAGGCTGTGCCCTTCAGCGGCAAATATCAACCTGCTCTTCTAGAGTTTTCCCTTTGGGGTCCCACTACAACCACCTTCAACAAATTCACCCCCAGGTTTTTGTCAAACATCTAAAACATGGGGACCACGGTGCAGAGTAGTGTGGAGAATGCTCGGGAAACATGAGGATAGAAAAGAATAACTTCAATATCCCACAATGTCTGGTCACCTTTCACGAGCCAGGCACTGAAAGGGCGGGGGGTGGGGGGGGGGCACAAAAACGGCCCTGCCAAGCTAAATGGAAGATGAGTTCTAACAGATACACAGGAAAGAAATAAGGCTCCCTGAGGGGCGGAGGGAGGCAGCCCAGTGGGGGTGGATGAGAGGGCAGAGCAGGGGTGAAGGCAAGGAACTCGGTGCACAGGCACCGCGGGATTGGGCCCCGCGGGCCCGGGCAGCGGCTGTGCTGGGCTAGGCGAGGCCGACTCTAACGCCAACCCTGATTCTGGCCTCGACCCCTACCTGGGCCCCGATCCCCGGCTCCGACCCGGCCCGTCCGCACCTGGGCCCTGACCACCACCCCCCCCCCCACACCCCCGGGCCCCGCACCTGGGACCCTGACTCCCGGCACTGACCCTGACCCGGGTCCCGACCCTGGCTCGTCCGCACCTGGGCCCCGGCCCGCACCTGGCACCCCAACTCCGGCTGCACCTGGGGCCTGACTCCTAGCGCCGGCGCCCACCCGGGTCCCGACCCGCACCAGGGCCCCAGCCCCCACCTGGGACCCTGACTCCGGCCCTCACCTGGGTCCTGACCCCCACCTGCGTCCCGACCCTCGGCCCCCGGCCCCGCCCGCACCTCCGTGATGATGTCGTGCAGGTAGCGGAACGGGGGCTTGTTCAGCAGCTTCTCCGTCAGCGGCGGCCTCCGGATCACCTTCCCCAGGGCCTCCTGCGTCCGCTTCACCACGGCCGCGTTCATGGCGGCGCCGCCCGAGCCCGCGCCCCCGCCGCCCCCGCCAACCCCGCC